ACCTGCCGAAGACGTGGCGGGTTCCTCTGCTCTTGTCACAGCAAGGGCGTATCATGGTCGCATCTCCGGGTCTTGGAGACGCTCACGTGACTCTGAGGTCTCCTCCTCGTATGGCCCTTCGGATGTAGATATTACTCGCGATAAACGCCATGGCTGCTGCCAACATTCACAGCAGCATCCTGGTCCTATCATACACATATTTTCCCCCACGGGCGACAGTTTTTCTCCTTAAAACCACAAATGACATTCTACTTTGAATTATGAGCCATGCCTTAAGAATTTTTTCACTGACTGCTCTTATTGCTCAGTTGCACTGTTGGCTCGTGTTAACTGACATCAGCACATGTGAATGTATTACTTGAAACAAACGAGTAGTCGCCTACAATTGTGTCAACGACTTCTTTGAAATATTCGGCTGTGCCGATGCATTTCTTAAATACTATGTATAAATAGGGGGTTCAAAGGCGTTTGCCTATATTTCCTTTAATAAACTTGACTTGACTTCTTCAAGCTGATTGTCGGTTATCCCCAGGGGTACCTTCTCCTTGCCAGGGATGCAGCTCGAACATAACTGCATCTTTCCGGAATTTATGGACATGCCAACCGACAGTTACCCGCGACACTACAGATTGTAGACCATAAAAGCTTGAGGCTAGCAGCGCAAGATCATCGGCGAAGTCGAGATTAGTCAGCCGGCGTCCGGGTGCAAGCTCAATACCGTCTTCTTCATGTAAGGCCTTCCCGCGAATCCAGTCATCTACGTAGTTAAACAGAATGAGCGACAGTACGCAGCCCTGTCGGACACCAGACCGAATATCGAACGGTTGAGAGGAATTGTTGTGGACCAGAACTCGTGCGGTGGTGGACCGATAAAAGGCCTTAATCAGGGCAATGAGTTTGGCCGGCATTCCATGTATTTTCATTGCTCGTCACAGGGACTCACAATGAATGGAATCGAAAGCGGTGGCGAAGTCAACAAAGCAGACGGCCGTCTGACCATGCCTGCCGAAAATTATCTCCGGTTAATTCTCGTGTGCTCACAGAATAGTTCCTTCCCATACCACAATGCTCAGTCACGGAAAAGCAGCTGACGTTTGCCACTGAAGCCTTTTAATCAACCTCCCTCCCCTCAAAAAAACTGCGAATCAACAAACATTTCTGACGAAAGTGAAGTAGGTGAGAACTCGATGCAAGCTCACAGTTTCCCTTAGAATTTTCCTAAGCGACATAGTTAATTCGCTAATGGTCTCTTTACATATCTGCTTCTACATGGGCTAATAAAATTCGATCTTTTTCAGAATCCAATACAATACCTGTTATCCTTCCAGAAGGTATTTTAAAAGATTTTAAAGCCTGCAATAAACGAAAATGGCATGGAACCTACCGGGGTCTGGCCC